GTAAGGAAACTTGCCCAACATTTCACCCTATCGGGAATTGAACCCAGGTCTCTCGCTTGCGAGTCGAGTGCTCTAACCACTGAGCTACAGGACTCATAAACAAAAAACAAATTCAGAAGCTTCATTAAGTAACTTATTTGATATTTTATTGTGAATTTCTTAATAAATGCATCTTTTTTTTCCAGGATTTTTTTTAGTGTGGCACGGCGATATGCCTTGAACTCACACTGTGGCACACCTTAGCAAAACGTTGGCTACCACTCCATTAAACCAAGATCTTATCTGCCTGTACAGGCGCAAGTTTTAGATCCCACTGTTCAAAAAGAGAAACTCGTTCACTTCATTGCTGTTTGTAGGGCATTGCTGTGCCCAAATTGGAGAACTTGTCTGTCTATAAAATACACAGTCACTACACTCTACCACTTTATCAATGCCTTGAAGCATTTTGCGATGGTTTGACAAAGTGATAAGGTGCTTTATCAAATGCAAAGATTACTATTAATGTTTTTATCAACCAATAGATTAAACTTAAAAATTGTCTTAGGCTGTTTGCTGTTTTTTCTGTAATCTAAAAGGATGAAAAATTGGATTGTACGGTAAAACATTTGAATTTAAGGGTTTGGGGAAAGGGCAGGTAAATGGGACTGAAAGGATTTCTCTTGAGGGAGGCCTGCAGACACGAAGGGGAATGACCTTCTTCTGCATTGTAAATTTCTATGGTTCTAAGAATTATTGGATTTGGGTTGGAATGTGCAGTACTGACAATTTGCTACAAGTGGAGCTGCTAAGAAGAATGATTTCCAATAGCTCTTTAGTGCCACTTGGCGGAGCAAAGAGGTACCTCTGAGTCTGAAATGTGCGTCTCAAATGGAAACGAGTACTATGTTTTGAAACCCTGCTGCAAATCAGACTGCAACATCAATCAAGAATGTCCCGACCAGTATCGAATCCTTTAGATAGGTTCCTTGTGAACACCAATTTCAGCATGGATACTGATTTAGCATGATCGCGCTGAGAAGGAGTGAAGGGCATTCTGATCTTCCCCTTCAAGCACAGCAAGGTCGCAATGCAAGTCAAGCTTGTGGCATACAAGATCTGTGGCATGCAAACAGTCCTCCTTTATGGATCCAAGCTCCTGGGGATGCAGTGGAGGGGTTTCCTCCGACCCATTTGCAAAGTTCAGGATCAAGCAATGAGGTGCAAACCAGGGAAGCGGCTGCAGGGAGAGAGGGCTCCAGCCTACACTGACCTGTCACTAAGCACCCTGGAGGCAGAAGCGGCTTCACAGTGGGCACGTCTATTTGCCAAGGCCCCACACATGAGGCCCTGGATTGAGCAGCTGGTGTTGCATAAGCCTGATATGTGGCATTGGACTTGGACTTCAACAACATCAAGGTGGCTACCACATCACAAGCTGTCCTGTACAGGTCCTTGTGTCACACTGAAGGCAGATGCCAACCAGATAGCTGATGAGGAAACTCTGAAACTTGAGGTGACAGCTGCTGGAACGTGTTACCTGGAATCCAAGTTTGTTACCAGACTTTCGTACGTCCAGCTCCTGGAATCCACCTTCATTGGCCTGCAGAGCGGGAAACAGCTGCAGTTTAAACTCCGCACCTCATTGGTGGAACCATCGCTCAATGGAAAGAGACGTGTGCCCGAGCTATGGACAGGAAGATGGTGGCAACGCTACCACCCATTTCATGCTGAGATGAGTTGCTCCCTAGGAAGCTCGCAGGGAGTTCCTGGTACCTACCGATGAGCCATCCACCTAGCGAGGGCTCAAACCCATGCTTGTCAGATGTCGAACGACCAACTAGTAACTATTCTCCTTGGGGGAGGGAGGAGGTAAACTGGGTCTCCTTGTAGCTGAACTGGCTCCAAGGTGACATGCCTGGCAATGGAATGTTGGAATTGAACCAGCCTCTATGTCGGTCTCTGGTCCGATTCCTGACCCGGGCAGGTCCACAGTATTTCAGGGTACTGCTGATGATAGCACAGCCAGTCTAGCACATTGGCAGGACCTGGAGGGCCAGACCAGTCACTGGAGGCAGAAAATCATCCCACTCAGTTTCTGTTAGCCGGGCAAGTGAAACCCTAATGGGTAGGATGGTCCTAGCTGTACAAGCAGGGGATAGCTTGTCAGACAGTGATACAAGAACATAAGAACATAAGAAATGCTAGGCGAAAAAAAAATGAGGTCCATCTAATTCGCCTTCCATCTTCCTGGTGGTCGCTTGCGCATATGTCCCGAACTACAATTCCAGGCAGGGCGAAACCTTGGGCAAGTTTCCTTACTCCACACGCCTAATAATAATCCCTCCAAAACCAAAAACAAAATTGGTCATTTTCAATCTACGACTGTTTGTGGGACATTGCTGTGCGCAATTGGCTGCCGCGTTCGCCCACAAATATATAGTGTGTTCTGTGAAGCACTTTGGGACGTCCTCCCAACGTGAAAAGCGCTATATCAAATGCAAGGATTATTATTATTATTATTATTATTATTACCTATGTACTATATGCTATAATGTAATTTCCTAAAAGAAAACTATCTAATTTGTGTTTGAAGGATTCAACACTTCCTGCTTCAACTGTCTCCCTAGGGAGCCTGGTCCACAGGTTTACTATTCGCTCACTGAAATAGTGTTTGCGTAGATTTGTTCTGAATTTACCGCTTTCAATCGCAGGCTCTGACCTCTGGTTTTATTATTCTGGACAAGTTGAAACAGCCTGTCATGATTTATATTGTCTTGCCCCTTTAGAAACTTAAAGACAGCAGTCATATTACCTCTCAGTCTTCTCTTTTCTAGTGTGAACATGCCCAATTTACTTAGTCAACAACAACAACAACAACAAGATTCCATTTATAGAGCGCCTTTCACGTCAGGAGGACGTCCCAAGGCGCTGCACAGTTAGTCATGACCCGAGCAGGGGGAAATGGTCAAGGTGAGGGAGGGAGGGAGAGAGGAGGGGGGAAATGGTCAGGGTGAGGGAAGGGAAGGGAGGGAGCGAGGAGGAGGAAGAGAGTCGAGAGGGGAGCTGAAGGCACGGTCAAAGAGAAAGGTTTTGAGACCGGCCTTGAAGGAGGAAAGGGCGGAGGTGGCGAAGGCACTGGGGGATGGAGTTCCAGAGCCTCGGGGCTGAGAGGCTGAAGGCCCGACCACCGATATTAGGGCGGTTGGGGCGGGGGACGTGGAGCAGACCGGAGCCAGAGGAACGGAGGGTACGGGCAGGTAGGTAGGGGGATAGTAGGTTGGAGAGGTAGGAGGGAGCAAGGCCGTGAATGGCCTTGTAGGTGAGGATGAGGATCTTGAAATCAAGTCAAGGAGTATAGTCACTCCTTATAGGCCAGTCCCTCCATTCCCTCAATCATTTTGGTTGCCCACGTCTGTATCCTCTTGATTTCTCCCATATCCTTTTTGTACTGAGGCGACCAAAACTGTACACAGTACTCTTAAGTACAGTCTCACCAATGATTTATACAGTGGCTGGATTACCCCGAATACCGTGGCAGGATTATTCCAGGATTATATAATGGCAAGCTATGCTGGGGGCAGGATGGTAGGGAGTTAGGAGGTCGCAGGGGTAGGGGGAGCAAGGCCATGGAGGGGTTTGAAGGTGAGGACCAAGATCTTGAACTGTATCCTCTGTGTGATGGGAAGCCAGTGGACTTGGGCGAGGATGGGGGTGATAGGGTCACAGTGCCTGGTGTGGGAGAGGACACGGGCTGCAGAGTTCTGAATGATTTGCAGCCTATGGAAGGGATAAAAAGGATAGTTGAGGGTCAAACAAGACCCCAAGATTCTGGACCTTAGTAAGGTGGAATGTGCATCCATGGATGGTGATGCTGTCAGTGCCTGAGGTGTGGAGGCGCTGACGGGAGCCAATCAGGAGAGCCTCGGTCTTGTTGATGTTCAACTGTAAAAACTTAGCTCTCATCCAGGACTTGATGTCTGACAGACATTCTGTCAGGACAGCAGTGGTCGTGGAGTTGAGAGTGGAGGCAGAGAGATATAGTTGAGTGTCATCTGCATACATGTGGAACTTGACCCCATGTCAGCGGATGATGTCACCCAGCTGACCAAAAAACAAAGGCGCTTCTCCCTTGCTCAGGGTCTGACCACATTACGGTAAAGCGTTCCAAGACCTTATCCTACGTGAAAAGCACTATATAAATGCAAGTTAGTGTCAATAATTTATATATTATTATAATAATTTACATAATAATCACCAGTAAGTACTGTACATACCTATCACATCACATGTTACTTCTAACCACAAAGTTCATGGTCTAGTCAATGCTGACTTTATCACTGTTTAGACAGAGACCTGCGCTCGCTCTCCCACTTAAAGCAAATAATCCTTAGATTTGTAACAGCCCCTCTCATGTCAGGAGAATACCTCAAAGCGTTTCATGGGATTTATTGCGAAGTGTAATGACTGTGCCTACTTTGCAGGCGAATACGACAGCCACTTTGCGCACAGCAATATCCCACAAACAGCCATGAAGTGAGTGTTCACCTGCAAAGTACACACAGTCACTCCACTTAGCAGTAAAACCCGCGAAACTCTTTAATGAGGCGTCCTCATGATGTGACACGAGCAAGCGAGTGGCAGGGTCAGTTGTAAGCAAGCGAGTGGCAGGGTCAGTTGTAAGCAAACGAGTGGCAGGGTCAGTTGTAAGCAAGCGAGTGGCAGGGTCAGTTGTAAGCAAGTGAGTGGCAGGGTCAGAATGGCCGGAGCGGAAGCCTTGGGTAAGCCAACGAGGAGTGGAATAAAGGTTTGAGGTTCCAAACGCTCTGGGGCGCTACCCCACATGAGGGGCCCTCTATAAATGCAATTTGTTGTTTATGTTGAGACCCTCAATGTTATCTGGGGGAACTGCCAGCCAGGACATCAGGCAGGAGAACTCTCTTCCTCTCAACCCGTTCACATGCAGTGTTTTAGTTGTCCTTCCCCCTGAGCTCTGCTGTCACTGAGCCAAAAGGTTTGCAGTTCCGGGTTTGCCATGTTGGCGGCAGGGCTGCGGGCAGGGCTGCGGGCAGGGCTGTGGGCAGGGCTGTGGGCAGGGCTGCGGGCAGGGCTGAGAGGGGGCATAGACCAGGGCAGAGTGGCTCAGTGCAGAGCCCCGAGCAACAGCTTCAGCCGCAGCCACAGCCTGACACAGGCTGCAGCTCACACACACAGTGAGTGAGTGAGTGAGGCTGCACAGCCCCCCCCTCCCCACACTACCCCACCCCACAGCCCCCACCCCACAGCCCCCACCCCTCCCCACACTACCCCACCCCACAGCCCCCCTCCCCACACTACCCCACCCCACAGCCCCCACCCCTCTCCACAGCCCCCCACCCCTCTCCACAGCCCCCCACCCCACCTCTGTTTGCTTCTTGTCTCTCTGGGTGACCCTGAATAATAATAATATTTTAAAAGCTTCTCCTGTCCTGAATGTGTTTGCAGCTGTTGCTGGTTATAAATATCACTACCCCCACCCAGTCACAAGGTCTGTGCCTCTCCCCTGGGGGCTGACACACGTTTGCACTCTGTCTTGTTTTCAATGGTTGATGCACAGAGTTCCAGACTGGATTGCTCTGCTTTGCAGTCCTGATTGAACTGAAAGTGACTTTTGTGAGTAGTAAATGCCTTAATACCGTATGAACTCCTCGGGACACACACAGACTGCAATGTGTGACAGAGTGGCTTTCCAGGAAATAGCTCGCTCTTCATTAATATGTCATTCCAGGGCCACCCTGATGACTGTCTGGACAGTCGGGTTCATCATGGCAGGACTTGGAGTGACAAACAATTTGTTATTTGGAGTTATATTAGAGAAGGGGTGTCCTGTTCGTGGGATGGTGCAAAGCACGAATTGGCTGCCCGTGCTCACCCACAAAAATACACACAGTTACTACATTTTACAATGTATTCTATGAAGCACTTTGAGACGTTTCAATGATGTGATAAGGCTCTACAACAAATGCAAGGATTATTGTTATATATTACAGTTATGTGGAGTTATAGTTATTAGGAGAGGCTTCAAACATCGGGGAGCGTTTTGTCTAGAACAGAACAGAAAAGGTAAGTGTAAATCTAATAGAGGTTTTCAAAATCATGAAATATTTAGATAGGGTGAATACAAGTGAGACTATTTCCACTGATGTGTGATGAGAATAATCAAGGACTATCACCAGAAGAAGGAGGAGATTGGAGGATTATTTTTGCACAGACTGTTACCATGACTGGCTGTTGAAACTGAGACATCAAAGAAATCAGAAAATACTTGGATAAATATTTGAGGAAAACTAATTTTAAAGGGTATGATGATAGCACAGGGACGAGATGGGGGAGCAAGCACTAGATTGAAGAGGCTGCAAGGTCTTTCATTTGGCTGTAAACATTTCATCAAATGTTCATTGCATCCATACTGTTTCTGTACTGACATATTTCTAATTACTGTTACAAACTGCACTAAGTTCACTGAGATTGTTTAAGTTGGTAAGCAATTTAACCATTTGAAAATTTTGGGGAGAGGGGGGAGAGTGTATGAAACTCAACAATTTTGTAATTTTGTGATTCTAGGTGTAATTTAGAAGCGTACAACTATCAGATTTAGGGAGGATATCCTAATTTCATCTGAGAATGCCACAGTGAATTTTGTACAGTTCTATTGTAAATCTGCAAAGCAAAGTATGATGATCACTTGTTCTGCTTTGTAGTTGAGAAGAGCAATGTTATCACCGAAAAGATTGGAACGATTATCACCATTGGAATTAACAGGCCAGAAATAAGGAATGCTGTGAATAAGAAGACAGCCCAACACTTGCTGGATGCATTCACTGCTTTTGAGAGGGACAAGTCTTTGACAGCAGCTGTATTGCACGGAACAGGTTTGCTGCTTAATGTTGAATAAAGTTTAGACAATGTTATTGTTTTTAGTGACATTTGCTTTGTGGACAGATTTGGTTGATCATCATGTCAAAGAGTTTGACTGTTTTGAGAATTTTGATAATAAACAGCTAAAACAACCTCAAAATTTTTGTTTTAACACAATTTGCAGTATTTATAAACAAAAGTCCTTAATAAGAAATCCCATTAAAACATCTGCTGAACTGGGGAAACTGTGCTCTGAATTAAATCACATTGAAGCAGATTTGCCATTGGTCATAATGACAGGCACCAATTATCAGAAGGAGTCCTTTGAATTCTTTATTTAGGAATTATGTTAAGAAATCCTGTTTCTTAGCCTGTTAATCCCAATGAAGAATTCAGGAATGAAACCTCAAAAAAATTAATTGAAGTGGTGAAGGTAAAAATGGTGACAGATTGTGATGGGCACTTTTAAAATAGATGCCAGGAAGTATTTCTTTTCACAAAGGGGAATCAAGAGCTGGAACGAATTACTAAGAAGGATAGAAAGTCATGTTGCTGGATTTATTTAAAAAGCAGCTTAATGCTATAATGGGAAGATGGTAGGATGGGTATCCTGGAAAGAATGAGATCAAATATCCCAATGAACTGTGTAAAGAAGTACTTCTTGGCATTCGCCCACAAAACATAGTCAACTCACTTTACACTATATTCTGTGAAACACTTTGAGACGTCTCGAAGACGTGTTAAATCGCTATATCAAATGCAAGGATTATTATTTATCTGTACTTGGCTTGTAATATTGTGAAGAGATGAAAGCACAGGGAACCAGAATACATATACGAGCTGAGATTGGATTGTGAAACAACATCCTCTCCCCTCCAATTTACAGCAATTGGTGCCTTGTATGGAGCCATCCCTGCTCTTACTTTTACTTTTAACATTGGCAGCACTTGTTTACTTTGTGGATTTGCAAAGAGACAGGTAAATAATAATTACTTTTGCACAAGTTTGCATTTTCTACCTTTGTCCTGAAACCATAGGATCTTGGTACGTCACCACTCGTCTCGTGCTAGTAGTGAGCAGCCGGCAAGAGGAAAACATATAAATAAAATATGTGTTTTCATTATTTTTGAAAAGCATCGAGTGTCTAACCTTTTGTGGCCTCCACAGGGGGTAATTTCTGTGCTGGTTATGACTTGAAGGAGTTGGCTCAAGTTGCATTGCCTGTTAAATTTGAACAAGATGTCACCAGGGAGCCGGGTCCTTTGGTATGTACAATATATGTAAAATACAGTCATATGTAATTATAGCTGACCTTTATTTGCCCTTCTAAACATAACTGTTTAACTTGTATATACATGCAGCAATCTCTGGAGACTAAGGTTTTAATTTCTGTAATTCCCCCCGTTCTCTCAATGTCGGGCCTGGGAGCTGAGCCAGACCTGGGAGCCTCAACTGAGATATTCAGTGTTGGTTTTACGTTTAAACTTGGGCTTGTACAGAATATCCTTTTTATAATTAAAAAGTGCTGGTGAGACCTCTTCAAGGGAAACAGAGGTTAAAAGCCAGTTCCGAAAAGTGAGTGCCAAAGAAAATATTTTTTTTCAAAATCCCAAGGAAATGTTTTCCATATAAGAAATCCTACTGGTTACATAGAGCAGAACAACTTATACTGTTACTGAATGTAATGTTTGCCAGGTAGCTGCGTGATATTTGTGATATTACTTATCTTATCTATTTTACACACCTATAAGTTGTCATGGTCCCTACAGATTGATCTACTGGCAGGAAACCCAACTAGTCTTCTTGGGATCTAAACCAGGAAACTTGCATGATAACTGGAGCAATGTATTGGGGATGTATTCAGATTTCACGTGTCATCTCTGTTCCTCGCTGTTCTTTCACAGATGTGTTTTGTTGTTATAATGAAATATGTGGTCCAAAGTTCCATCTATTATTAGTTGGAGAACATTTTGCACATAAATTTATATTGTGCAGGATCATGAAATAAATCTTAAATTGAGCCTTAATTTGGAAGCCGGTTTTCGGCAGTTCTTAAATCAAATTGGATTCCAAATTAAGACTGGATTTGATTTTTTTTCCCAGTGTTCTGCATTTTCCTAAAGTTTTAAGACAAAATGGTGTTACAGGCTAAGAGTAGGTGACCTGCAGTCGGCAGAGGTATGAATGAATCTTTACGCTTTCTGTCCTAAAGACAAGGAAAAGCAGCATTAAACTGATGGGAGTAAAGTGTGTTTTTTTATATTAGGGATATTCTCGAGCTAACGTTTCTCTGAATTTCTTCCGTTTCTGTGAGTTCAAGGTATCTTGTAGATAACACTAGAAAGCCAGCATTGATAAGCTGTGAAACCAGTGATAGATATGACCTAGTTCGCAACATTGCCTTGAACATCTTCCAGATGATACAATCCATTTATTCTTGACAGGGACCATCTCGGATGCAGTTTTCAAAGCCAGTGCTTGCTGCAGTGAGTGGATACGCAGTTGCTGGAGGGATGGAACTGTCCTTGTTGGCTGATTTGCGTATTGTGGAACAAAGTGCTATCATGGGAGTCTTCTGCAGACGCTTTGGTATGTTTCTCCAGCTTTTGAAGTCAGGAAAAGCCCATAACTTGGAATATTCATATGGCAGTACAAATGTTTTTTTCTTATATCACCCTCCCTGTGTTTTACTCTCCAAGGTGTTCCATTAATTGATGGGGGTACAGTAAGGCTACCAAAGCTAATTGGGTTATCCAGGGCAATGGATCTCATCTTAACCGGACGTCCCATTGGGGCACAAGAAGCTTATGAATTTGGGCTTGCCAACCGTATTGTTCCAGATGGTCAAGGTTAGTGCAGCTCTTCACAAAATCGTTGTATATATTTTTTGATCTTTACTTGAAACTAAGGAAATTAGCCAGTTCTGGTTTGCTTAAAATGATGCACTAATGCTGCTCCTGCATCGCATTGCCAACCACATGCAAATAATGTAAATAATGGAAGCCAGATGCGGGATGGAAACATGTACTTACCCGACATCTACCTCTGGCAGGCGAGATGAACCATCCATTCTGAGAATAGTTGGGTTATAATCCTGGTGTTCCCCACCAAACAACATTGTGGGGTCACAAGGTCTCAAAAGAGAGGCGTAAATGAGAGGGCCCACATCAACTACGGGTGAGCAATAAACCCTGGCCCTGCCATATCCCATATCCCGAGACAAATAGGAATCTTTTGCAATCATTTCCCTCTCCTGATAGAAGACATCTAGTGTATGATGGAGACCTGTAGCGTACTGGCTAGTGCGCTCACCTTGCAAGGGAGAGAACCTAGGTTTGATTCCCGTACAGGACGAAACCTTAGGTAAGTTTCCTTACGCCACATTCCTCTATTTACCAAGCAGTAAGTAGGAACCCAGTTGTTAGTCAATTGTTGGATCACTTTCTGGGGTATTAATCCCTCCAAAAAAATGTTGTCATTCAATCCACGACTGTTTGTGGGACACAGCTGTGTGGAATTGGCTGCTGTGTTTCGCGGGCAAAATGCAGTCAATCTACTTTACAATATATTCTGTGAAGCGCTTTGAGACATTTCAACAATGTGATAAGGCGCTATATCAAATGCAAGGATTATCATTATTCTTATGAATAAGAAATGCTACAGGTGAGCACAAACCTCATCATTGAATCCCTGAGCTCTACGTAGGGTTTATGGGAAAACTTTAAGCCATGGTGTGCTTCAATAATCCTTTGAACACTTCTTTCCCCCGCTTACCTCTCTCCTTTCAAACCCCACCTAAAGAGCTACCTCTGTGGGCTTTCTGCCGCCCACCCCTCCCACCACCCCCTCACTCAGCTCAGACTTAACTTTGATACATTCTCCCAACAAGTAAGATTCAATGTGAATGTAAATTGTTATTGTTGTTACTGAGACTTATACCTGTCCTGTGTCTTACAATTAGTTTTATTGCCTCAGTTTATTTCCTCAAGCTAGAACAATTACAACTAACATTTAAACCTGTGTGATCCCCTCTAAATGCCTAGGGCTTAATTTTCCTTTTACTCAAATCAAATATATTCTTGGTTTTACTTCTTCTTTGCTTCTGTTTTGTATGAACTGCATGCACACAAAGAATCAGAGGCAGTTGGAGAGGGAGAGAGAGAGAATCACACACAACAACAACAACAACTTGCTCCACGCAGGATAGCGTCTCGGAGTGTTTAAAAGTGGCGGAGCCTGACTCCGAGCCGGGGGGTAAGGGGGAGGTGGCCATAAGCACGGTCCCAGATGAAGGTTTTCAGGTAAAACTTGAAAAGGGGGAGAGAGAGGGCCAGGCGGACGGACACAGACAAACAAAGACCACATATTCACACTGTATTAATATCTACTATGGGTCCCAATTATAATATCTAATAATAATCCTTGCATTTGATATAGCGCCTTATCACGTCTTCGAGACGCCTCAACGCACTTCACAGACTATACTGTATATTGACTGTGTATATACTATGAATTGATTATATGGATGAAACGCGGCAGACAATTGCACCGAGCAGTGTCCCACAAACAATCGTGGATTGAGTGACCAATTTATTATTTTCTTTTTTTTTTGTGTGGCTATCAAGTTGTCTGCTGTAGTCAGTTCTAGTGGAGAAGCTGGCTCCAGCAAAAACTTGATGTGCCAAGTAGCCTCCTTCTATGTCATGATTTCTAATTTATTATTCCATATTTAAAGGGATATTATCAGGAATTTCTGATTGAAAGGCATAACTAGACCCATTTGAAAGTCTCACAAAGGATAGTGCCTGTGCTGGTTTGTAATCATTTTCAAACAACACAATACTGAATAGTTTCAGTGACGTTTGCTGTCTTTTCCTGTAGATTTCCCCTGTGTATTTTTGCCGACAGTTGCGGGAAAGCGCTTAAAAATGCTTTTTTGCAAAATTTTGAGGTTTTTTTTACTATTATTGGATAAAATTATCCAGCTCGGAACTCTGTTTTGTTTTCACCTTTTTGAAAAAAAATCCTCTTGAAATTAAAAAATCTTGATATCCATCTACGTTTTGCCTACAAAATATACAGTAATTCAGTTTACAGTATATTCTGTGAAGCGCTTTGAGACGTCTCGAAGACGTGATAAGGTGCGATATCAAATGCAAGAATTATTATTATTATAACATCAAAACTACAGGTCCATGCTTTGATTGTCTGATGTCTAAAATTATATCACAGTGTCTAAATCAAATACAAGGATTATTGTTATCCTTTTTTTTCTGACGTCGTTGTTGCTGGGATTTAATTCTTCTTTAGCAGTTCAGTTGATGAACCACTAGATGGTACTGTAGTACAGCTCAGTGCTAATGTTCCTTTTCTCCCCTGCAGCTCTTCAACATGCCATAAAGTTAGCAGAACAGATATCTACATTTCCTCAGCAGTGTCTGGTTGCAGACAGAGCCTCTGCTTACTACAGTACCTTCAATGCCTCTTCCTTTACTGAAGCCATGCAGTTCGAATTTGACAATGCCAAACACGCAATTTTGGAGGAGGCCATCCCTGGTGCAGAGAGGTTCAGTTCAGGAGCTGGAAGAAGCGGAATATTCACTTAGCTTGTGAAAACCTCCAACAGATTAAATGGAAATGATTCAGCTACTGGAAGGATTTAATTTTTTACAAGTCAATCCGTGGGTTATGGTTTATGGCGGATCTCCGTTTCAAAGAAACAGGAGTAAGCAATTCAGCACTTGAGCATGTTCCACCATTTTATCAAATTGTGGCTGATCTGTACCTCAAATCCATTTACCCTCTTTTTCTCCATATCCCATGATACCCTGACCTAAATATCTATTGACCTCAGTCTTGAAAATTCCAGCATCCACGCCTTTTGGTAGAGAGAATTCCAGATTCCCATGCCCTTTATGTGAAAATGCATCCTGGTTTCACTCCTGACTGTCCAGGCTTCAATTTTAAGATGATGCCCCCTCGTACTGGTTTCCCCCACCAGAGGAAATAGATTCTCTGTTTCTACCCTGTCACGTCCCTTTATCATTTTAAACACCCTGGATTAGATCATATGCAACCTGTCCTCATAATTTAACCCTTTCGTCCCTGGTATCATTCTGGTGAATCTGCGCTGTACCCCATCCAAGGCCAATATATCCTTCCTGAAGTGCGGTGCCCAAAACTGAACACAGTACTCCAGATGGGGTCGGATCAAAGCTCTCTACAACTGCAGCATCACTTCCTCGCTTTCGTATTCCTGCCCCTCTGAGATAAAGGCCAACATTCCGTTAGCGTTTTGATTTGCTTTTTCAAAACGATACCAAGAGGCAAACAGGCAAGGAGATGCTTGGGACGTCCTCCTGACGTGAAAGGCGCTCTATAAATGGAATCTTGTTGTTGTTGTTGTTCTACCTCTTCTGTCACACCATCACAGCTCGGTAAAGGTTGTGTCCTGGGGCAGGGGGGGCGGAGGATGAGGTTAGAATATTAAATTCCTGAAGTTATGGTTTTCAGTAAAATAAATTAACATTTTGATTACCTTTTAAAAAAAATGCTGAAATTAAATAAAACCAGATTGCTGAAAACACTTAATAATACTCTCTGAAAATGTCTAGTTCAGGAGAGTTTATATTACCAGACACTACAGTATCGACATCTGGGAACATCCTAAGTATTACAACTTTGGGTGGAACATAGCTGATGTAAAATTCAATACTACAACATCATGTTGATGTGAATTTACTTGAAAAAAAGTCTGTTTGCTTCTTTCTTGGCATCATTTTTAACGGAGATAAGTAAAAGTACAGACGAAGACTGCTTTCACAAATGATTGAATAGTCTCACCTCCAAACCTGCTCTTCTGGGCAGCGAAAAGCAGAAAGGAAGAGAGGAAAAAACATAGGACAGGTATATTACACCTCTAAGTCCTACAGAGTCAATAGAATCCTCCTTTGCTCTTCAGATACTGCAATGAACCTTATTTCTATGCCTTCTCCCACTAGACAGAAAATGAAAATGGATGGTCATTTAGGTGTCAGCTAGGATCTGTTGGTAGATGCTCTTGCTTCTGAGGTAGAAGATTGTGAGTTCACGCCCCATGTCAGGACTCTGGCTGACACTGCAATAGAATGCTGGGGCTGTGCTGCAAATGTAATGTCTTTTGGATTACACATTAAACCAAGGTCCAGGCTGCTATTCAGATGGATGTTACTATTCACTATTCAAAAATGTCACTATTCAAAAGGAGAAAGGAATTTCAGTGTCTTGGACGAAAATCTTGTCATTAATTTCACTTCTGCCACTTCATGACTGTTTATTGGACATTGCTGTGAGCAAATTGACTGCTACTTTGTCCATAAAATGCACTACTTTATAGTAAATCCTGTGAAACGCTTTGAAATGTTGCTACAATGTAATAAAGCACCATGTTAAATGTGCTAAATTATGATAATATCCCAAAGATAGACATCAGGAACGGAGGCCCACGGGTGGCTGAGATCCACAAGTGAAAGGTGGTTTCCAGGTCTACAACCATCCCAAATCCTTTGAATTTGATTTAGTCCTTTATCACTTTGACAACATGTCTCAAACGTTTCACAGGATTTTACTGTAAAGTTTAGTGATTGTATTTGTAGGCAAACAAGAAACCCAATTTCCGTGCAGCAATGTCCTACAAGCAGTAGGAAAGCGAATAACAAATATTATTGAGAGTGGGGGGGTGGTGGTGGTTGCTGTTGGGCAGGACACCAGGAAAAACTTCCTTCTCTTTTTGAATAGTACCATGGGATCTTTAACATTAACCAAATGGACAGACCGGATCTTAGTTTAGCATCTCGTCTTTGGTTTAACATATGTCCCCAGGCTCTGGCAGCATCAACCTCCATGGTTGCACACTAAAGTTCACCAAGCCAGTCAGGAACCTAGGTATCATGTTCGACCCTCAACTGTCTTTTCTTCCCCACATCCAAGCCATGACCCGCTCTCCCTTCCCTCACCTCCGCAACATCGCCCGACTCTGCCACAACCTCACCCTTCAGGCCGCTGAAATTCTTGTTCATGCCTTCATCACATCCAGGCTCGACTATGCAAACGCACTGCTTGTTGGCCTTCCCATTTCCTCCCTCCACAGGCTGCGGATAATCCAGAACTCTGCAGCCTGTGTCCTCTCCCACACCAAACTCCGCGACCCCATCTCCCCCACTCTCACCCGACTCCATTGGCTCCCTATCCTTCAGAGGATCCAGTTCAAGAACCTGGTCCTCAGCTACAAAGCCCTCCATGGCCTCGCCCCACCCTACCTCTGCGACCTCCTAACCCCCTACCAACCTGCTCACTCCCTCCACTCAGCCGGCTCAGGCCTGCTCCACGTTCCCCGAAACACCCGCCCCACCATTGGGGGGAGAGCCTTCAGCCACTCTGCCCCTAACCTCTGGAATTCCGTCCCCCAATCACTCCGCCTCGCCCCCTCCTTAGCCTCCTTCAAGTCCTGCCTCAAAACTCTCCTTTTCGACCATTCACCCCCCTTCTCCTCCCCTCCTCCCTCCCTGACCCCAGCTTAGGTCTGAAATGCTGTACATTGTCCAGAGCTATACAAATGTAATCTTGTTGTTGCAAGGTGAACAAGAACAGACTGAGAAGAATCCCTGCTCCCAATGACTGGTCTGCCCCTCACAGTCCTGCTGAAGGGCCAGGCTGGCTGCTCTGTCATCAGCAGTGCCCTGGAGTTCTATGGACCTCTGGCTCAGGAACAGGAATAACACAACCAACTCAGAAGCTTGATTTGATTCTTACATTTCATTGCTAAGCACGTCATCCTTGAGGCAGCTCACCTCCAAAAAGACACTGCTACAGAGGATAGTTTCTAGTTGGCCATTTAACACTCAATAAGCAAATTTGACAGGTTAGAACTGTCACTAAATGAATAGCAGATAGCAGGCATTCGGTATGAGCTTTGTAGTACGAAGACCAGAAAATCAGGAAATGTTATTGGTGAGCAGATACCAGACTGCGTGGACTTCAAGCACTTCTGTCTAAATTGTCATGGTTAATTGGTGCCGTGTGGTCTCCTGTGTCCTGTTGCTTATGCCATTCGCATGAGGTAATCCTTGCATTTAACATGGAGCCTTTCACTTCAGAAGGACATCTCAAAGTGCTGCACAGGATTTACTGTGAAAGTATAGTGTAGTGACTTTATCCTATTACTGAACCTTAAATAAACTTATGGGTAAGCATTGTGAATGCTACACAGCTATTTTTTAAGAAAAAGAACAAGCAGTTTATGTTTAAATAATCCCTTTATGTCATTCATTTCCTCAATAAAAACGGAGTAAATGCATTCCAGTGATGTTAGCCAAGTTTATCTCCCTGGATCATGTCTTATGCCTCCCATTATTGTCTGTGTGGTCTGTTCTCAGACAGATTGAAAGCAATCTCCTTTTCCCGTCCGTTTCCTAAAACTGGAAAATCTAATTGAGAGCAAGCTGCCAGCTAAGTTATGAAAGAGTATAGGGAACAATTACTTGGGGTACATCCTAAATAAGTATGTTTATTGCACTTTTTGTATTTTCCATGCTTTCCTGAAGATAGCCTGCACAGGAGTAAAGTTCCATGGCTGGAGGCATTTTTCTCAAGTATCTTCTTCACAGTTTGCTTCAGTGGGGTCTGGGCTAGGAAGGGGTTAAATTCAGGTAAATTCCTTATCGCCATCCAGTAACTTCTGCTGTGCATGTTCAGTGAACAGCAGTTTGCTTCATGTCCCCTGCCCTATCCCTATCTAGACCACTATCGGTGGGAGAGCTTCTGGCCATTCTATGGAACTCAATCTTAAGTCCCTCCACCTCATCACTGTCACTTTCATAGCCTACTTCAAGACTTATATAATAATATAATCCTTACATTTGATATTTGATATAGCGTCTTATCATGTCTTCTAGATGTCTCAAAGCACTTCACAGAATATACTGTAAAGTGAATTGACTATGTTTTATGGGCGAAACATACATACAAACATATATACTTTTTGATCGCACTTTTGGTCATCTTTCATCCCTTGCAACCATCATACACTCTCTTCAGTTACCCGTCGCCTCCAGTTTGGTTGCTCAGTCAACAATATAGAGTGTTTTGAGATGTTTTCCCAAGGTGAAAGGAGCTGATTACATGCAATTTGTTTTATGTGGTTTATTGAGGCCAAGATCATATTGGTAAGCAGATACCAAACTGTGTAGACCTCAAGCACTTTTCTCTTGTGATATTGTAATCCACCCCCTTGACATGGTTGAATATATCGTCAATGCATGCAAATGATAAATGGCCTCTTACATGAGGGGTCAAAAGGCAGGCAGCGCATGTGAACTGTACAGTCCGTACCTTCAAGAGAGGAGGAGTAAAATATTGGCAAAAAGATGTTTGGTTCAGTTAACACTACAAATCTTCTAGTTTGAGTCTTCAATTAGCATCTCTAAGCCAAATATTAATGGCATTGGTATATCTTGTGCCATAGCACTAATCAAAAACAGAAGGGATTTAGTTTCTCTTGTTGCCCTGGCTAATAATCCTCCAAATAAATTGGTCATTCACTTCAAGACTGTTTGAGGGGTAAGACAGAATTGTCTTCCTGCATTTGCCTACAAATACACAATCACTATATTTTACAGAAATTACTCGCTTTGAGATATTTTGACATTACATGTGCTGTATCAAATGGAAGGGTTAGAAGTCCTGTAGCTCAATGGTTAGAGCCCTCGCCTCGCAAGTGAAAGACCTGGGTTTGATTCCCGGCAGGGCGAAATCTTGGGCAAGTTTCCTCACTCCACAATCCTGATAATAATCCCTCAAGAAAATGTAAAAAACAATAATAATTTGGTCACTCAATGCACAACTGTTTGTGGGACACTGCTGTGCACAATTGGCTGCCGCGTTTTGCCCACGAAATATACAGGCAATTCACTTTAAGTATATTCTGTGAAGCGCTTTGAGATGTCTCGAAGGTGTGAAAAGCGCTATATCAAATGCAAGGATTATTATGTTTATTATTTTAAGGATTACTATTATAGTTTCCTGAGAAATCAAATTAGTCCAGCCCTAAAAGATCCAGCCCCCAAAAGAAGATTGTGTACATCCATCTTGATACCTTCACAATTCCTCCCTTTATTTTATGGGCCTCACAGCTTTGCTCTTTCCTGTTCCAGCACTCCTTGTATGAACCTCTCCAGTCCAGCTTTCACCCCATTCATTCAGTACCATATATGCCTCAGATTTTGTTTGAACTTATATTGAACCCCAAAGCTTTTAGAGACACCGATCTGGCTGCACCCACCTTTGGCACTCAGGAAAACCCACACCAACGCCATTGGAATTTTAAATATTCAAGGCAGGTGGGAACATCAATAATAGGTTTCAGTAAGCTTTCATTTTTAACATTGCAAGTCTAGTTTAGTTTTAAAAAATGTTTCTGTCAATGTAGTTTAGTAAATAAACCAGAAGGGAAAAAATGCTAGTAATGAAATTAAAATTAATCAATAACTTCTTGGATATTACAACTTATTATGTGGCCCTCTAATCATGGGTGTCAGCTTGAATCATTTGATAGTTTTCTTGCCAACAAATCAGTATATTCTGTGAAGCGCTTTGGGACGACCTCCCGACGTGAAAAGCGCTATATCAAATGCAAGGATTATTATTATTATTATAATGTTGTGTGTTCAAGTCCCACTTGAGGACTTTGATCTCATGGTCTAGGCTGACATTCCAGTACATTATTGGCAGAGCGCTGCATTGTCAAAGTTGCCATCCTTCAGATAAGCCTTTAAATCATGATCCCATCTGGTTGTTAAAGATCCCATGTCAAAATTCGAGAAAAGCAGTGAGTTTCTCCTGATATCCTGATGAACAATTCTCCAGATAAAATGGTGATTGTTTGTGGAACCTGCTGTAGGCAAATTGGTCGCTGTGTTTGTGTATGAAATACAATCACTTTCACTTGACAGCAATTATCTGGAACCACTGTGAAATATTTTGGCATTCTAGATGGACAGCTTATTATGTTTAAAAAAATGGCATAGATAAACAGGTAATTACTATGTTACTAGAAATTTGAAATAAAAAACAGAACATTCTGTAAATTCCTCAGAGACTAATCAGTATTTAACATGAGAAAACTGATTAATGTTTGAGCCAAGCATGCACCTAAATTTGAACAGTTTCAATTCTTGCAGTTCCTAATTATAGCTCCAGATGGCGTCTCTAAACAAGTACAGTATCTCCCAATTGGAGAAAGGGAGTCAGTTTTTGGGTGAAGTGATTAAAAGATCTGTTAATTGTATTCCAGAAATTGTATTAATTCAAGCTTTTGATTTCTGGATTTATTATCATTACAATGTTAATGTTCAGTCTCTCACAGGAACATTATTATTGTTGTTATTATTATCATTATTATTAACATGATTAAGAAAGAAGAAAACTTTTGTAGAGTGAATTTTCATGTCCAAAAGTCACAAAGTGTTGTCTACATTATTTGTAGTCTTTATTGTTTCATTGAATGAGCCACTGTGTACTGTAGGGGCCAGGCTCTGTTTTATTTGTGAATGTTTGTCGTCTTAATGTATTTCTTTAGTTTAGCAACTAAAATCTTCTTTGGATCAAGTTCCAGAGATGAGTAGTGAATAGTGTAGTAATGTTTGTGAAGTGTAGTAACTGTTTTTATTGAAGGTAATTGAAGCAGCCATTGTATAGACAGTGAGGTCCCCCTGAGCAGTCAGGATTCAATTACAAACACAAGTTGAGTTTTGTAATGTGCACTTTTCAGAATCATATTCTCAGATATCTGAAATTTTATGTTGACTTCTCCACTGGTTTGACAAACCCAATTTCTATGCTCTTGAGTGAGTTATTGGTAACCCCTGCCTCATAGTGTACAGTATTTCTGTCAAAAGACTTAGCACTTTATTGATCATATTTAAATTAATTACATGATTGGTTTGTGTCTAATGCATTATGATGGAAGAAATAATTAATATTTTACAGCAATATCTACATTGAACAAATATTAACTGCTTCATACAAAAGTTGCAAAACTGAACTTTACATTATGATACCCCACTCAATATACAGTTTTGTCTATGTCTGTAAAATACATGTAATGACCGAAGCACTCAGACAATTCCTAGATTTCACAAGTGAACAGACAATGAATGCCACTGGACATTTCTGGTGTAAAACACTAACTATTTAGTGCCTCACTATCAGGCAGCAAGGAATGCACAAGATAACCACTGAAATACCAACATCCAGTTAATGGGCAACCAGGAGAGCCAGGTGCTATTTATATTAATGTTAAACTTAAGAGAAATGCATTCTCAAATATTTTTCTGGAACAAAGTTCCTCTCAACCTATAACTCAAAACGTTGACGTAGGTGTGAACCTTGAAAAAAAAATCCTTGCATTTGATATTGCACCTTATCCCGCCAGGGCGAAACCTTGGGCAAGTTTCCTTATTCCACATGCCTGATAATAATCCCTCAAGAAAAAAATAATTAAATAATAGTTTGGTCACTCAATCCACGACTGTTTGTGGAACATTGCTGTGCGCAATTGGCTGCCATGTTTCGCTCACAAATATGCAGTCAATTCACTTTACAGTATATTCTGTGAGGCGATTTGAGACGTCTAGAAGACGTGAAAAGCGCTATATCAAATGCAAGGATTATTATTATTATCATGTCATTGAGACGTCTCAAAGTGCTTCACAGAATATACCATAATGTGAATTGACTTTATATTTTGTGGGCAAAACGCGGCAGCCAATTGCGCACAGCAGTTTCCCACAAACAGTTATTGTGGATTGAGTGACCAATTTTTTTTGATGGAATTATTACCCCTGGAAAAAGTGGTTTCCTGCTTACTGCTAGGTAAACAGAGGCGTGTGTGTGGAGTAAGGAAACTTACCCTACATTTCGCCCCGCCTGGGAATCGAACCCAGGTCCTCTCGCTTGTGAGTTGAGCGCTTTAACAACTGAGCTACAGGACTCCTGAATCGGATCATATAATTAAAAATAAACACATTTAATCCACCTAACCTAAAAGAACAAAATCATCCACTCAGACCTCCTCTCTCTCCCCCATCCCCACCCCCAAAGTTCTTGACATAAATTTTTACCCAATTATGAACCTCAGGGTGCTTTCATTTCAAATGTCAATGTTCCCTTTCACTAACATTTCCAGTTTTTGGGGAGGGGTATCCTTCCTGTCCCAATTAGTTCAATTACATAAATACTTCAATTGCGCAGCCCGCTGTCTCCGCACAGCACCGACGCAGCATGGCGAGCGCTGGCCAAGTTACCAAACCACCCGAAGGCAGGCAGTGCCGGCACTCAAGTCAATAAAGCTGCCGCCCTCATCTATAATAATAAGCCTCGCATTTAACGTAGCGCCTTTCACGTCTGGAGCGCGTCTCAAAGCGCTTCACAGGATTCGCTGCAAAGTGACTGCGTACTTTGCAGGTGAACGCCTATCTCGAGACGATCTCTTGATTCCAGTTGGTAAGTGACCCTATGGTAAAAGGACGCCTCGATCCCAGAGACGATGGAAGGTCTATCTATCTATTCGGCCGAATGCGAAGTGTGTTTCCTGAGCGCAGTGCTGGGGGGGGGCTATACCACATATACAATTGTGTGCAGATAGAATATACATTGACACTCATGTCAAAGAAACCATTGGTTGGTTGGTTGTGGTTGGTGTTGGAGTGAGTGTTAGTCAGAGCGCTGCGCTGGGCTGTGCTGGGCTGAGGGGCTGCAGTCCCGCCTGTGGTGGGCGGGGCGGGGCGGGGGGGGCGGGGGGGGGGCGGCGCTTGTCGCTCAGCCGCTGGGGAGGGTTGGTTACCTGCTGTGAGAGCTGAGCCGCCACTCGCTTCACTCCCAACATGTGAAGGAGGGAAGCGGGGACACGGGCTCAGCACAGGGTGGGAGAGAGACAGAGAGGGAGGGAGAGAGAGGCACTGGACCGGCAGTGCACCGAGAGCGAGAGCTTGAGCAGCGCTGTGTGAGTGAGTGAGTGTGAGGGAGGGAGTGAGTGTGAGTGAGTGAGTGAGGAGGGAGGGAGGGAGGGAGCAGCGCTGAGCTCGGGGTCGCGGGGCGCTGAAGGCGATGCGCTGTGGGCTGGGAGTGCTGGCGGCGGAGCGCGGCGCGGCGCTGGGGCTGCTGTGGGGCTGCTGCCTGCTGCTGGAGTGGCTGTGGGCGGCGGCGGCGGGGGCGAGCCTCCTGCAGAGCGGCGGCGGCGGCGGGCAGGGCTACAGCTACTCGGGCTCGGGCGAGGCGCACTCCAGCTTCCTGCAGCGCCGGCTCCGGCAGCACGAGCGGCGGGACATGCAGCGGGAGATCCTGTCCATCCTGGGGCTGCCGCACCGCCCCAGACCGCACCCGCACGGCAAACGCAACTCGGCGCCGCTCTTCATGCTCGACCTGTACAACGCCATGTCCACCGCCGCCAGCGGCGGCCGCGCCGGACACCACCACCACCAGCACCACCAGCAGCAGCAGCACCACCAGCAGCAACAGGAGGAGGAGGAGGAGGAGGAAGGCGAGGAGAGAGGGGGCTCCAGCCACCAGCCCTCCAGCCCCCGCAGCCCCCCGCTCGCCAGTCTGCAGGACAGCGCCTTCCTCAACCAGGCCGACATGGTCATGAGCTTCGTCAATTTGGGTAAGGAAGACGGCACATTTATTTTAATTTTAAACGCCACTTTTTATTTTATTTTATTTTATTTTTTGGGGGGTGTGGGTGTGGGGGGGGGGGGGGGGTGTGGGGGGATGTCTGGGGGCACATGGCATTTCCATCCTTTTTTTTTTTTGCATCCCCCCCCCCCACCCCGATGATGATCATGCTTTTTTTTCCCCCACCCATTTTGGTTCATTGATGATGATTCCCCCCCACTCCCCCCTCACACACACACACACACACACCACACAGACAACCCCCCCCCCCCCCACACACACAACCCCCCCCACACAGACAACCCCCCCCCACACACACCCCACACAGACAACCCCCCCCACACCCCCCACACACACACACACCCCACACAGACAACCCCCCCCCCACACACACACACAACCCACCCCCCCCCACACACACACACACAGACAACCCCCCCCCCCCACACACACACAACCCCACCCCCCCCCCACACACAGACAACCCCCCCACACACACACACCCCCACACGCTTTCAATCTGCAAAGACACTATCTCGCTTTGTTTTTGTCCGTCTGATTTTTGTTAACTGGTGATTTTTTTTATTCCCCCCCCCAATGATTAGGGTTTTTTTTTCTTGCCTTTTTTCCCCCAATAATAATTATTCCCCCCCCTCCCCCCCCACACACAAAAAAACCAAATAAAAACCTTTTAAGCACGCACATGCACCGTATGTTACTTTGTTTTGTCCGTCTATTCTTGGAAGAAAAAAAAAGTTTTCTGTTAAGTTAAGTGAATGGACTATCGCTGATTTTTGGCGGCCGGTGAGTGAGGTTGATCTTCAGGAGGAAGAAAGCATATTTCCCTGTGTGTGTATGTATGTGTGCGTGTGACATGTGTCTATGTGTGTGTCTATGTATGTGTGTGTATGTATATGTATGTGTGTGTGAATGCATATGTGTGTGTGTGTATGTATATATATGTGTGTATGTATATATATGTGTGTATGTATATATATGTGTGTATGTGTATATGTGTGTGTATGTGTACATGTGTGTGTATGTATATATGTGTGTGTGTATGTGTGTGTATGTGTGTGTGTGTGTCTATGTATGTGTGTGTGTGTGTCTATGTATGTGTGTGTGTGTATGTATATGTGTGTGTGTATGTATATGTGTGTGTGTATGTGTGTGTGTGTGTGTCTGTATGTGTGTGTGTGTGTGTGTCTGTATGTGTGTGTGTGTGTGTATATGTGTGTGTGTCTGTATGTATGTGTGTGTGTGGGGGGGGATAATAAAAGTACAAAAGCACGAGCAAAGCATCAGATGAGAAGCTTCATTCATCCTTTTATGTGTGTGTTGTGTGTGTGTGTGAGAAGTGATGGATTGGGACCTGGTGAAGTGTTGGGCTTTTCGGCGGCACAAACTGATGCTGAGGATCTGTGTTGTTTCTGGGTCTTAATCCGTGAAGCGACATCGCCGTCGGTACCTGCATTCCTGAAGCAAATCCTGCAGTGATCCATCCCTGCCATCCAGCAGCACAGCTCCACTGCAGTCACACTGTGTAACCAATGCAATGGTTACATTGTAGTTACAGTGCAGTGTCAACCTATTGAAGCTTTAAGTGGAGGACACACACACACACACAGCACATGTGCTTTTCAGTACTGGGGTTACCCCGGTGGTTAGTTAGTAAGCAATCTTCTGGCAAGCGTTAATGCATCCTGCCTTTTGTTTGTGAATCCCTAAGTGCTGTAGTTTAGACCTTTATCGGCAACACAAGTCTGCAATTCGTTGTGTGTGTACTCATGTGTTTGGGGGGAGGGAGTGGGCTTTCAATAACTAGAGACGGATTCTTCAACGGGGATCACAAGAGATGCGCTACTGTAAACTTGGTACAGCATATGTAGGGCCAATGTTTTATAAATTAATTTATATTCTGAATTAGTTGGATTTTCTCTCTTTCAGGGAATACTAGTTTTGGTGGTAGGCAGTGCACCTGTTGCATTATTTTGATGATTCTGTACTTGAAATTCCACAGAAATTGAGTGAAGGTGGGTCAGACAGTCCATGTGCCTTTAGGAACTGAAGAGCAAACGTATTTCTGCAAAATAAAGGTGTACTTGTTACATTCCAACATAATGATTTGCACATTCAAAATCTTGTTCACTGATATCACTAAATCCACAAATGTTTGTGGGACACTCTGTGTGCAACTGGGCTGCCGTGTTTTACCCACAAAGTACACAGTCAATCCACTTCACAGTATATTCTGTGAAGCGCTTTGAGAGGTCTCAATGACGTGATAACCCGTACCCACATCTCACCAGTTCTGGTTCCCCATCGCCGAACGGATTGGCTTCAAGATCCTCACTCTCGTGTTCAAATCCATTCACTCCCTGGCACCTCCGTACCTCTCCAACCTCCTCATTTCCCACTACCTGGCACCTCCGCTTGACTGGCACCGGCCTCCTGCTCGCCCCTCGCACCTTCCGCCACACCATCGGAGGTTGTGCTTTCAGCCACTACACCCCAAAACTCTGGAACACTTTCCCTCAATCCCTCCGCCTTGCCCTCTCTGTCCCCTCTTTCAGGTCTTGCTTGAAGATTTTCCTGTTCCACCGTGCTCACGGCCACCTCCCCCCACCCTGTGGCTCGGAGTCAGACTCCGCCACTGTTAAGCTCTCTGAGACACTACTCTGTTTGGGGGGCGCTATATAAGTGCAAGTTGTTATTGTTGATAAGATGTTATATGAATGCAAGGATTATCACTCATCTTGGAGAGTAAGTGCTACAAGTATGTTTTCTTTTCCTTGTAAAGTGTCCTATCTCAAGATTTCGGCTGGGAGGTTGCTTTGCTTCCTGAATGTTAGCATGACTGTAATGTTTGTTGTGAGTCTCAATAGAGCCTTGTTTGTTGTAAGTTTTTTTTTAATGTTGGCAGTAATGAGTCAGCCCATTTCCAACAAAATATTTACACACAATCCCTAGTTGTATGTTTATTTCCTCTAAATTGTTCAATGTTTAGAACCACACGAGGCACCTACAATGCTCTGAGGCAGCAGATTAAAAAAACATGAGTCAGCTAATGATGGTGATTCTGCCTGTTAAACAGGTTCTGTTGACGTAAAGAGCATTAAAGCATCTTACCTCAGTAAAGGTGGTGTATTGTGGTGAGGCAAGATCATACCAGGAATGTCTTTAGCTCGAGATGGGGAGAGAGACAAAAATAGTACTATTGTAGTCCCCAGTTAAATAAAAATATTCAACACAATGAATGCTTCCATTAATACCACCTCTATCATCACCCACACAGCTTTTAACAGCTGAGAGGGCTGACAGCTGCATCAATCACTTTTACAGTGAATGGGACCTTGGCACCAGCAAATTTGGGTGTACATAAAGTTGAACAAATTCATCTGAAATTGGGGGGAATATGACTTTCAAGCTTGTATTATTGGCTTCTTGTAATGCTTCAGAATGTGTCCGGCAGTGACAATGTTGAATCTGCAGCACAGGGCACTCAGGATATTACAGCTCATATCCACATGAAGCAATTCTGCAATGACATAGTGAAGAAACATTGCATTTAGAAATGCTATGAACTTGGCATCTTTTTTTAAAAAAAAAGTAACAATGTCATCCTTGGACTGGAAGAGGAGAGGTGACAACAAAAGGAAGGGGACATTGTGCAGCCTCTTTCTGAGTACTTCAGGAGCTAATGGGAGAAGGAGATGGGTTTTGTTAGTCTTAATTGCAGTGGCAATTGTTTTTCAGAGGATTGAAAAGTATCTTACAGGAAGCTAAGTAGGAACGATCATAGTGCCATTAACTTGTACACAGATGCAAATTTACATTCTGAAATGATTCAGATACATGTGCCATTTGCACTAGTTCATTGAAATTTATATTATTTAAACTGAGCAATAAATTTCCAGTATTTGACTGTGACTGCAAGAAATATAGTCGATTTGTAGACCTGCAACTTTAACTTAAATACTTAATCAAATGGAATTTTAAGTTGCGATTTAAGAAAGCTCACAGCTGGGTTTCTTCAGGTATCAACTTGGCTTCGTTGGTAACATTCTTACCTCTGAGTCAGAAGGGTTTTGAGGGTTCAAGGCCTTTTGAGGGACTTTGAATTTCTATAGGCTGACACTACTCTGGGGGTATGATGTATTGACAGAAGTGCCGCACTTCGGATGAGATATTAAAACCAAGGTGCTGTCTGCCTGTTCAGATGGATGTTAAAGATCCTGTGCACTCTTTGAAAAGAGAAAGGGGTTTCTTCCGGTGTTCTATATGCCATTAACGAGGAAAAGTCCTCAAGTAAAATTGGTCTCTCACTTCAGAGCTGTTTGTGGGATATTGCTTTGTGCTGCAGCATTAGCTTGCTTCTTGCTTACAATTGCTTAGTCTATTCTGTAAAGCGCTTTGAGACGTCGAGAAGATGTGAAAAAGCGCAATATCAAATGCAAGTATTATTATTATTACAAATACACAGTTGCTGTGCTCCTCAGTAATATCCCGTGAAGCACTTTGAGGTGTCCCACTGTACTATAAGCACTATATCAAATGCAAGGATTGTTAATATTAAACTATGCAGTTTTCGGTGAAAATAATTTTCTAAAGTTGATCATTCCATGATTGCCAATTTGGTAATGCATTACTTTATATCTTTGCATTTGATATATGAATAATGTAGAAAAATACTTGATTGGCATTGTAATCCCCTTAAACAGATTTTTTTTAAAAAAAGCAATGTACTTGTCACGGTGAAGATTGGAAGATTTTCTGCTTTTTCCTCTTTATTGGCATTGAGTACTTCCAGGTCACATATGAACATAATAATAACCCTTACCTTTGATACTGTATAGTATCTTTCACTTCAAGAGTATGTTTCAAAGTCCTTCTCAAGATTTACTGTAAAGTAACGTGATTGTATTTTGTAGGCAAACGTGGTTAAATCCAGGACATCCACACACCCCTGAATTTGTGAAACGCCCCCCC